GTCACTGCTAACCCAGGCTACAGACGCAAAATGGCTGCCCAAGCGAAAAAGGAGACCCATAAATGTAAGTTTTTGTGGCTTATAAGTATTGTAACGACAAATAATGATTTGCTTCGTTAATTCAATATATTTACGGTCAGTTTCTTCACAGAAACGTTTGTAAAAAAAAAAAAAAAAAATTCGCTAAAATTACTGTAGTTTGCTAACGATAGTCCCGCAACATATTTTCATGTCTGCCAACTGGTGAATGTAATTGCTGAAGGGACTTGACTTTATTTTTACCTTACATCTGCTATGAACGTCGACGGCATCTTGGAAGTTGTGATAAACATCGGCGCATCTCCTGTGACGTAGGCGCTAGCGACGACTTCTAATGACGTTTAACGGAGGCGTAGTGGTGTCCCATTTCTTAGGGGAATATTTTCACCCCTACGCATTGCCACTCTGTTTCAAGGGTCAAGGGGAAGGTGAAGGGGTAGGGCTAAGGGAAAGTGAAGGGGTAAGGGGTAGAATTGGGATTGGCCCTTAGATATATGTAAGGTGGGAGATCCAACTCCTCCCCCTGGATTTCGAGTTCTGCAGTAAGAACCATCTCGAAAAATCCCCCCAAAAATGAAATAAATAAAAGCCTCTAACTTTTCTAAGAAGGGAATGCAGAGAGTTGTTTCTCTGCAGAACACTCATTCAGGCTGTCCGTCAAAACCACTTGCATTGAGCCCTGAACCGCTGCAGGGAATTGGAGGACACAGCATCTTCAGTTCAGTGCACCGAGTAACGAGAATGACTCATTGGCAGCAGCGTGGCATGCCTGGATCTCTGCCTTTCAAACAGTCTTCACATATTCATCAACACCCTGAAAGTGGATATAGGCCGACAGCAACAAGACATTTGAGAAAGACAAAAGCAGATGTCTTCTATCTATCTCTCCTATCCATAGATAACCATACGGATACGGCGGAGACTCTATCGTCATCACCGCGGCCATCGGGTCACAGGAAAGCTGATGTAAGATGAGTGATCAGCACAAACACAAATAGTCTTATCTCGAAGAAATCTTGACAGATTTACAAACGGTTTGGTTTCTTACAAACGTTATCAACGTGGCTATAATTCTGGATGATATTTTATTTATACACTTATTACTCATAAGTATGCAGTGTCATAACTACATCTCTGGCGTTTAGAAAATCAGAAGAAAATTGAGCAAGTTATACTTATTTAAGAAGTACATGCACCATTAAAACACAGTGTTACGAGTGAGCAAGCTGCCTGTGACAAGATGGCCGCCAGGTGCGGACGTCGACCTCCACTGGTCAGCAGCGCGGACGAGACAACTAGCCTTTATTATGGATATCTATGCCCACATGCCAACAATGACAAACTTTTCTTGACTTGTTAGAAATAAAATCATTTAAGTCAAAATGCACCATGAAACTGGAGGAATATAATTTCATTTCTATATATCAGTTTGAAAAACAAAACAAAAAAGCTGGAACTTTTCTTTAGAAAGTACCAAAGTTCACTTCTTATTTATCTTCATATTGTCAATGCCGTTTATACACCGTGTTGTTTGGAGCAGACTGAGAATATTACAATTCTTTCAGAATGTGTGGATTTACAGTATAATGAACATGGTGGCATAAAGCAGCCCTAAACATAATGTATTAGGATCTGCAGTGCAACACTGCAGTGTGTAAAATATAGGAACAGCTGCAGGAGCCGCACAAATGAATGGCTCTGACAGAGAAAAAGCAGAGAGCGTGAATCTTATTCCTTCACTTTATTGATGTCTCACACTTTCCACTGGACCAGGAACAGAACATCAACACACAAACAGCTAAATAAAAGAAGTTGCACAGAATAAAATGACAGCAAATCAAACAGATCAGGTCAAAAAAACCACAGTCTCTCGAAACGGGTCATTTAAAGTGCTTGAATTCAGTCCTCTGTTGGTAAACATCTTTTCTGTCCAGACCAACAGGTTGGCAGATGTTGTTTTCATGAAGCTAATGGAGCAATGGTAGTGTTCTGACAATCCTGCATACTAACAATGGTGAAAAACATGACAAGAGATGAACTATATGGAAGGAAAAATGGAAGGGTTTTTCTTTTATAAAGAATTCATGGCAAGCGTTTATTGTTTCAGACATTTTCATGCTTTCAAAGAATCATTCAGGTGAGAAGAATCCAGAAGATGCCATACACACATGGGCAGCAAGTCATAAATGTATTTTACACAACAGTAAGAGGTCTTTGTATGAGTGCATTTATTTTGGAAATCTTAAACTTAGTTAACTTTCTTGATTGTTTTTTTTTCCTCGCTGCAGAACCTCATCTTTGAGTTGCAGATACTTGTGAAACAGTGTTTTTACAGCATGAGAAGAGATGTAGAAAGCCTCACATTTAAAACAAGAAATGGCTGGATGCATGGTTTACAATAATCTTTTAGAATAATAATCTCAGTTTAAAGGCATAGTTAAAAAATATTGTCACACTTTTTCACTCAAAACCTGACTTTCTTTTGTGGAACACAAAGATGTTTTAAAATGTTAACTGTTTTTGTCAGTTCTGTGAAATTCAATGCTCCAAGACACATTGTTGAACTTTCTGATAACTTTATCAATTCAATCTTGGATCCCATTGATTTTCAATGTATGGACTTGGACATTTAGCAAACTATTTTCTTTTATGTTCCACAGAAGAAAGTAATTCATTCTTTGGAACAAAATGAAGGTGAACAATTTATGACAACATTTTTGATTGAACTGCCCCTTTAATTATGGGTTATAACAGTTTTGCCTTGTTAACAGTCAAATGAAAGAAAATATGTTCTGGGCACCAAACAGACTCATCAAATGGAATTAATGTTCCTCTATAACTTTGCAATAGCAAGACTACAGTCCTTCTGCACACGTATACGACAACGAGAGACAGATGTAGAGAAAGAAATACAAACAAAGTGTCTCCAGAGTATTACAAAACAAGCCCTTCATTGATTTTCTGTTTAGTATAACCACAGAGTTGGGTGAGAGAGAGAAACACACACACAAATATCCTTCAATTGATTTTCTTTAGTTGGTTTTAGACATGGCTGCCCATCACTGCTTAGGGTGTATCTAGTGTGCGGCCCATATAAGAGTGTTGTAATACCCAAAGCCCCTCGTATTCTGGAAAAATGGCAGTAAAATCAATTTCGTTTTGGATTAAACATCCACCATAAAAATTTAGGGTACAGTATCTGTACATACTAATATGTCTACACTCTAAAATATTGTACATATGAAGAGTTCAGATGCAAAAGCCTCTAAGTGCCATTTGAAATTTTCTTCTAGAATGATCATTTTTATCAAGCTTGTATATTTAAGTTCAGTGATTTCACTTAAATGGCAATGATAATTACCTATTAATTGTTATTTAAGTGAAATTACTGAACTTAAATGTACAAGTTTGATAAAAATCATCATTAAAGAAGAAAATTTCAAATGGCATTTAGAGGCTTTTGCATCTGAACTCTTCATATAATCATATGATCATAGTACTGTTAAGTCCATGTGCTTCCATGCAGTGGATATTGTATATTTATGTATTAAAGTGTGTATTGTGTATCAAAGCATGTCAAAAGCAAATTACTGACAACCTCAACCTTCTGGAGACATACTTATGTAATCTTAAGAACAAAAAAACACCATCTCAAGTACAGTAAACCTTTCTTTAAGAAAAAAATATCCTGGATGTCCTTAAAAAAAAACCTTCGGTGGTCAAAAGGAACATCAAAGCAACTTACGGCACTAGCCAAACGGTCCAATTTATCTCAGTCTTCAACATTTTGCCATAAATGGAATTTTATTTTTTTTTTATTTTTTTTTTTATCATTGCTTGCAAAGCCAACAATAAGTTAGTGCAAAATCAAAATGAAAATCTTGTCCAAAAATTAAGAACTCGCTCAAGCCTCTGCAAGAGTATTTCTGTGCCAAAGTCAAGGCAAATATATTAATCCTGCAGAATTGGAGCAGACTGAACAGCTTAATAAAGCCATTTTAACTGTAAACATCTTTATAATGTATAAATAATTAAAAAGCATTAGAACAATTTTGTATGCAACTAATGCAGGGTGAAAAGGCAAGTTTATGCTTTAAGCATGCCATAATCCATAATCAAGAAAAATAACCTTATTAATACAGGAGGCATGAACCTAATTAAAATGAAAAACTGCTGATCACGACTGAAGCCAAGGTGGAAATAAAGGAAGCACTGACAGTGGCATGAAATGAGGCATTAAATAATATAAATACAGATCAAATCACAGCAGACTGACAGGTTTTCTCTGTGGAAACTGAAGATGAGATGTGGGTCATGAGACACTGACTTCCGTCTCTATGAGGTTGCATAGACAATAATATGTGTGTTTTCTCAGTTAAGCTTCGGGAGATGCAAATGTCAGATTCACCCACTAAATGAGTGGGCGTCCAGAGGGCATGCCGCATGGGAAAATATTCAGACACCGAGGGCCTTGAAAAAGCTCTATGGCACTTTCTTTGACGTTTGTTGAGTAACGGTAAATAAATGAGCTCTCTAGTGCTTTCCATTGAAAGACAGGGCAAAATTTGAGAAAACAAGCAGTCTAAATTTCTATCAGTCATCCTTTTCTCCAGTTTGTCAATCCATGAGAAGCTCAACTGTATTAACATGCTTATGTAGGGATGATGTAATTGTGAGCGGTAAAGGTTTCTCAGAGGTTATGGAATGATGATCAATGACTTTTAGTCTGAATCAAAAGAGTGGTTTTGTGCGACAGAAGCGCTGATTGTGACACTACTTTTTTGTTGCATAGTTAGATGCTTCTTTGTTTAGCTTAAAAGGTTGTCTAGCCACTAACAACACCATCTAGTGCAAGCCGCATGTGTGATCATGCGTTCAGGGAGGTAGCCTTATCAGTGTTTATGGCTGCAGCTGACACTCAGTGGATCTTTGGCTTTTCAAGTCTTGATACCGAGTGGTACCGAAGCGTCGTGTTCGGGGTCAGGCTCTCTCCTGACCACTGCTGGCCAAGGCTGGGATAGCCGGCCACGAGTCACGGTGACAATCCCTGCACTGTAGCATGGCAAACCTCTGGAAGGAGGAGGCGGAAGAAGCTGATGGGGCTTGTGGTTCATTGAGGGTCCTGGTTTTGGGTTTGACCCACTATTGCCCCCTATAGGCAGAGCAGGGAGAGTTACCCGTTTGTGTAGACGTGGAGGCTGCAGGACACGCGGGCTGAAGGACAGGTTCAGGAGTTTATTTTGATGGCTTTCTGGGGTCGGTCTTACGATCTGTTCTCCAGCCCACTGTGAGTCACTCTCATTATCGTGTATACGAAGGTGGGTGCTAAGCAACCAACTCAGCTCCTCTGGGTCAGGAAGAGATTTAGACTCCACATGAGGAAGAATTGGGTCGGTGGAGGGGACCGGACGACAGGATATAGAAGGCTGTTCTCCTTCGGTGCAGGCATCATTGTGGCCCCCTGTGGGGACTGTTCTTGCTAGTTTTCCCTGGATGAGGGGCTCGTTGGGGATGTGACTGATGGGCTGAAGTATTTGAGGCTGTGGAGGACAGAATAAAACAGTAGTTAACACAATAAACTAGAACATACATCTGCGATTAGTGGATATGATAGTTTGGGACTGAAATTTGTGGTGTTTGTGATTGAAAACAGGTGTGGCTCTCAAATTGTCCCATTCATAGAAGAGCGTACAGGAGCAGTTACAGAAAGACTGTAACTAATGTGACAGCTGTGAATAACAAAAGTGACTTAAGTCAATGTCAAAGATAGAGACTTCTATAACATCGGAAAGTATTCACAAATCTGAGGGGAAAAACAAAACCCTATTGAGGTTCATCCATCAAATCTTAATTAACCGACAGCAGCATCTTGTTTTATTTTCAAATTGACAGCAACTGCTGTTCACTAGTTCCATTCACACAGCAACAGTAAGTCTAATACACTCTTTGTTGTGAGTCATCATTCGCAGTGCTTCACAGGAGTGAGCTGTCGCTGAGAGATATTTTGGAAGTTTACTTGTAGTGATTCTCTGATCAGAGTAGATTTCTTTGCAGAATAATGCGTAATGTAGTTTTTCCACCAAGAAAAGAATACATCAATTCCCAAAAATATTCACATCGAGAAAATGAATGGGAATTTTACTTTTGGAACCCGAATATTGCACTGTTACAATTCAGTAAATTCCTCTTCCTGTAATTCAAATTTCAAATCAACTTCTCAGGGGGTGTGGCAGATTGTTCAATTCTACAAATTGACAAAACTCTATTCAATTTCAACATAATAAAACAGTACTGAAAACTGTATTCTGTTGCTCTGTAAACATCGCCAGGTTGATGAGACGTTAGCGGTCAGTCGTCCTGTCGACTGTTCAGTTCCAAACAGAGTGTGACAGGGTGGATTTGAATGGATAAGCATGTATACAGGCGAGTTTCAGTAAACACAACTGAACTGTGCACCAGGACAGAGGTACAAGTCCTTGTTTCCTTCTCATTCACTCTCTGTCTCTCATGGGCTGCTTCTGCTGAACAGCACAGCTCTACTGAAACCACACCACCCCCTAATGGCTAACAGTGGTTTTATGCAGCCTGCCACATTTATATTCAGCCAGAGACCATTGAAAGGTGTGTATTATCTCCAGATACTATCACAAAACAATTTTATCACATGCCCAACCACACAGGGTTGAGAAAATGTCAGATTGAAGAGAGGTAAAGCATTGCAAACTAGAGGGTGCAGAAAAACAACATAATCGTTCCTCATTTTCAGAAAACAAGAGTGCAGTGTGGGAACAAGGGAGTAAAAGTGTGAGCGAGGGTTTGTGCATGTGTCATTGTCAGTGGCGTGGGACAGTACAGACAGTCACATCCTCTACTACGTGACATCACAAAATCTCTGGGGTGGAGAGACGTCAGCGGACACCTGCAGACAACATCCATAAATCATTCATCTCTGTCCATCTCTCTCTCTTAGTTAGTGAGAACAGTCCCAACAGACTGTAACCTTTTAAACCCTGCGACATAAGTCTCTGTTCACACTGACATTGTTTTTAATCACGAGTTTGTCACTCCAAATGCAGATAATTTCAGACATTATTTACCATGCATTTTTTCTTTTCATGTGAGCTTCATGGTATTCACTTCTTTTTGTAGTTGTCGCATCACATCGCAGCTTACTTGCATATATGCCTTCTCAACTTTGTCCATTTGCTGGACACAACTAAATTGCGCCAGTCACCAGAAATTGGTAGCTCTCATTGAAAATGACTTCCAGAACCTCTGGTAACACTGCCAGTGTAAAAGGAGCTTAAGAATAAAAGCAGATGCAATGAGCGTGCCCCTGCAAATGCCATAAAAGCAATAAGCCACCCAAGGCCAATTTTACAGTCATTGTACTAAGGTTAAGGTATGTTCTGAAGCATAATGCAATTAGTACCTAAAGCCCCCTTAAATGATTAGTTCACTTAAAAAAAAAAAAACATTTTAAAGGTTTTTGACTCTGTTCTGTGAGACCTTTTCAACGTAATTGCATATTCCGTGACATCACGAACGCGCATCACAGAACAGAGCAAGGCGAGCATTTGTGCTCATAAAACTTAAACTTTTTAGTTAATTTTTGAAAAGACAGATGGTTTTGCTAGATAAGACCCTTAGTCATAGTCTGGTGTCGTTTAAAGCCCTTTGAAGCTGCATTGAAACTGTCATTTGGATCTTGAACTGTTTGGTTACCAATGAAGAAGAAAAATCCTGGAATGTTTTCATCAAAAACCTTCATTTCTTTTCGACTGAAGAAAGAAAAACACACACATCTTGAATGACATGGGGTGAGTAAATTATTAGCAAAAGTTTTTTTTTAAAGTGAACCAATCCTTTAACTGTGGTAAAATTACTGTAATGAACAGCCTCACAGCCTTGTTACTTTTATGAAACAACAGCATTTGGATAAATGACACCAATTTTCAGTAAACAATTTGCATATGATAAACAATTCTTCTGCCAAGTAATATAATTCATTATACTGGCTAAAGGCAGTTCTGGGGTTGCCAAGCAACATAGAAAATTTAGAAACAACCGAATTCATCACATGTGTGTTTTTATCAGCTTTGAACAAGTCTCATGACATCTAATTATAAATTAAAGTTGAAAATATCTGTTGTATAATACAATATATTAACGTCATAAAAACAAAGGAATCCAATCATGCAGCACTAAACAAACAGCAGCAGCAGCAACAACAAGACAGTAAAATGAAAAACAAAGATGTCGAACAGATTCTATGCTGCTCTGACATTGTGGACTGGTTCAAAGTCTTTTATAGGGGTTTTAGAACACCCCTACAGAAGAGGATGTGTTAAAATTGCAACAATGGTTTGCAGGATGCTTGCAAGACTATCATAAATCCTAATAAATTATTAAACCTAGTGAATTATTTATAATTTTTTTCAATTGTTAAATGGAATGAAAGAAAAATGCCTTTTTCTAAGGCAACTAAAAACGTTTCTGAAAGTAAGACATTTTTGTTGTGGTGGGGTAAATTAAAATCTGACCTTTTTGCCCTAAATGTCTAGAAAAAGAAATCCTTATTTATTAGCCCTTAAATAGTCAAAATTGCAAAAATGGTTTGTGCAGATGCTTGCAAGACTATCATAAATGAGTAATGTTTTGCACTGTACAGTATGCCACTGTTTTCTAAAAAGAAATATTTGAATTCATAGCTTTCGAAGTTTCATTAACGTATATCATATTACAACTATTGTTTCAGTAATAGCTTTTTCTTGTAAAGAAAACTTTCCTGGTTGAATCAAACATGGAAATATATTTTTCTGAACCAAAAAAATAAAAAGGATTTTAAAGGGGTGGTAAAATGCCATTTTCACAAGATGTAAAATACATCTCTGATGTCCCCAGAGTGTATGGGAAGATTTAGCACAAAATACCCCACAGATATTTTTATATAGCATTTTAAAGTTGTCACTTCCTGAGGGTTTTCAAAAAAACGCACCATTTTGTCCCTGGCCCATTAAATGCAAATGAGCTGCTGCAGAGGGCGGGGTTTCAAGAGCTGGAGTGTGTTAGCAGCTGCGATTTTCTCACGCAGACAAACTAAAATGACAGAAACTGTTCTCCCTTTAATGTTAAAATGGGGTCAGTCAAAGATGGAGAGACTCAAGAAGAAGTGACAACATGTAGAATACAACAGGACGTCTCTGAATGGTTAGTTGATGAATGTATGTTGCTGATGTGGAGTTAACTATCTTCTATTAGGATATTTTGTCATGTAATCTATAAATCACTCATATAGGAACGGTTGTGAGATGCACACAGAGTGACTTTCTATTGCAAGTGAAAAGATGGATGCTAAAGTTTGAGCTGACTCACAAATGTACTCTTATACAACAACTTTTTCTCTCCTCAACATGGACTGCATGTTCCCGGGGGCGGGGTTTATGTATATTTTAGGGTTGGTGATGTCCCTACCAGCCGTTTGTTGTAGTCCTTTTCTTTAAAAGCAAATATCTTCCTTTGCTTTGAACTTTGAGCGTTGTAACTTTGATAATGTTGTTTATTCTCAAACAGCAAAATTAAACACTAACTAAAGTTAGAAAAGTGAAATCATACTTTACCACCCCTTTAAAGAAAAATGTATAAGCTTTGATGGTGGGGTCCAAGAAAATGCCAACTTTTGGACTTGAAGAAAATAATCTTTATTATTGAGCCCAAATAAGCACCTAGAAGCGCATGGCGAATCAACTGACTCTTCTCAAGATAACATTCGTAACACGACTGCTAGATATTACAACAGACAGAGCTGTAATAAAGTCTGACTCTAATTCAGTCATTCATCTTACTAGAAGATTTGGCTGATGAAATGTGGCCATTTTGATAATAGAGAAGGTTTTTAATATCCTGAGTTTGTAGAAGTGGAGGTTATAATGTGAATCGCGAAGGAGTTATTGGATCATTTTATTTTAATTGTCCTCTAAAACTGTTCAGCATCTCCCTGTGCAGTCACAATACCAAGGACAATTGCATCATGGGCTAATTCCCTGGTTGTGTGCGAGTGTTTGAGATGTTTAAACCCTGGTCCACCTGTGCAGACTGAAGTTGGTTTGGATAAAGTCTCTGGGAGCTGGCTGAGAGAAGCAGTGAGTCTCCAGAACATACCAGTATACACTGTAGCTCTAGTATTACAGCAAAGACAGATCTGACACAACCACAGCAGTCACAGACCACGGAGGAATAGATGAGGTTGGGGCCAAAGATTAAGGGGGGAAAAAAACACCTCATGCCAAGTCTCATGTATGTGTGAAAAAAATTTGAATCCATGCTTTAAAAATAAAGCTCAAACAAGCATGCATTGGTCATTCACGTCACGTGACCATGCAAAGGGTGAAGCTTTTAGTAGATGTTACTGTACCACGCTGTGTCGCGGAAGTAATGCACAAGATGCTCCACCTCTGTCCCGAGGTATTATCGGATAGGCAGAGGGGGAGAAACAACACAGAGCACAAGTTCATCCAATCAGGAAACAGGAAGGGGAAAGAGAAAGGGAAAAGACAGGAGGACAAGGAAATAAGATAGCCTAGAACTGACAAAGCAGTGGCGTAAAACCGAAAGAGAAGAAAGGAAGAGTAGAGGAAGGAAGGTCTGTTGGGGAAGAGACTAAACATAGCCTGACATCTGCTCTATAACTACAGTCATGTTTACAACCATGTAAAACACATTCTCTCAGATGATCACAGCTCTATTCTTGCTAAATTAAATGTGCACACAGTTACAATATCTATAATTTACTGCAAACAATTACTGCTGTTATGTCTTCCATTTGGACTTTTATGTTCAATTTATTTGGATATTTCCTGTTGCATTTTTATAGTCCCCTTGTAGTTTTGCTGTTTATTAGCCCATTATCATTCCCATGGGTTTCTAGTTGTAATGGTAGCCCTTATAAGTACCCCCGTTTTCCTTTGCGTTTTGTCAGTTTTTGTTATTCTAACCTCTGTTTGTTCCTTTGCTCCCTGTCTGCCTGATGTTACAACTGCAAATTGAATTTTTACTATTATATATAAAAAATAGGAGAGTGAGGCCACACTATATGCATATATTATTTTATTTTATTTGTTACAGATGAATTTCTGTACAAATAAAATAAAAGAAACAGATGCATAGTGCTGCCTCTCTCCTTTTTCGTATTTGAATCATCCAAGCCAGCACTCTTAAAGTTTGAGTTTTTTAAAATTGAGTGAAGCCTGCTCCTATCCTCACTTACTATTATTATATGCACTACTGTGCAAAGGTTTCGGGTTTAGATGCTCACCAAGGTTGGATTT